CTATCAGCCTCTCACTGCGGTTCCCAAGTCGTTTATAACTGGGGTGGGGCTGGGGCATTACAATTGGTTGCACAGCCTGCTACCCAGCCATCACGTTTTGCTGATCCAAATTAAAACAGTTAGAGAAAGCTGATTTAATTTCTTTGAAAATTGAAATGCCCTTCCTCTTCTGATTCTGTTTGAAAATGAGAGGATTTCAATTGATTTCTTCTGAATTTGTTGAAATGGGAGGTGGACCTTTTGAACTTCCCACTCGTGCGGTCAACGTGGATTTCTGCTGCTAAGTGTGTCGGTTGGAAGACATTGTCTTTGAAAATGCGGGATGTCGCCCCAAGCTTGGACAGAACAGCTGCGACTTGGAGTTAATTTTCTGAAAAGAGGGGAGGAAAAGAAAAACCCAGAAAACTTCAACGCATTGAATTACATGCAGATGCAGCATTTCCTTAACGTGCCACTTACGAGTTGCTATCCCCATCAAGTTCTACAGTTGTTAAAAGAAAAAGAGTAGCTAGTAATCATCAAAATCTGTGATTATTAGTATGTCTCTGTCTGGTCTCTCAATCTAGGGTACAGGACCCGTGAAAATGGTTTGGGCCCACTTAACGGTCATTCCCATAAACCATAATTCAAAGTTGAGAGCCTACCATTAAATTGGTAGAGCAGGTAGATCAGCTTAAAGCCTTGAAACATGATAGCAGCTGTTCCATTTTACTGTTTGAATTAGACCCATTCACTGCAAACTCTTAGAAAGCACTGAAAATAGTGCCTGAATGCCATGAATTATATGGTTGGAGTCCATGTTGGGTTTTGCTACAGAGTTCAGACACTCCTTTAGACAAGACCCATACAGTAATTGGTCCCTTTTTCTTGTGATTTTATGGGCCCAAACCTCTCTCTCTCTCTCTGATGCCCACATGGCCACGTGGCAATTGACTTATTGCCTATAGGACCCTAACAAGTATTTAGGTGGTGGACTGGTGGGTGACTATGAACAGTTTCTTTGAACAAGTCCCATCCAGTGAACATGTGGCAATTGACACCTAGGAGGACCCTAGCAAGTAGCAACTGCATTGAGATCTGGCAGTCGGTGGTTATTAGGGAATTTGCTTTAGTCTTAAGCATCCTTAATAATAAAAAAGCAGATTGGTGAGGCATTTACTCGACTCCTATCTGCTCTCTTGTCCTTCCATATGATAGTTAATACCAATTTGGCTACCCTCTTAATGTTTGAATTTCAAATTTGCCTATAAAGTAAATAATGCATTAAAAAGCTTTCATTTAATATTAAGATAACAATATGAAGCCAAAAGAAGAAAAAGATAATAATGAAATTCCTTGTTATTTAATTACACTAAGAATATTTTACAGTACGACTAACCACCTTGAACATTTCTCAAGATGTTCAGTAGTTCGAATTTGACAAAGTTTTCTACTGGGATTCTGTATTTTAAAATTTTCAATTTATACTGAAACTCCGGAATGAATGAAGTTGGTCTGAAATGGACAAAGGGAAAACATGGACTAATCCAGATGGCCTTCTACCTGTTGGACAGTCTCGATTGGCTGTATGGGTTGGCCATTCAGATAGTGAGATAGGATTAGGAAAGCCCATTCGAGCTTTCTGGAACATATATCTGGGCCTACTGGCTTAAACATGGTTGGCCCACCGCCCACCCACCAAGTCCACCAATCAAAGATCTCATGTCTTTGGAGATTGAAGCTAGAACAAAGATGACAAACCAGTCAAATCCAGTGACCACGGATCACCAAGCAAACAGCTCAGCTGTAAGCTATCTGGGCTTGAGTGGGGCAGCCGTTTTCAGTAAAGAGTCCAAGCCAACAAATCAACGCACTAAAACTTGTTGACAAGCGGGCGCTAGCTGACACTGGTCGAATACTTGGATTTGATCTTTTTCTTCTCCAACCTAACTTTCTTGGTGTCAAGCAATGGATGACCTACCTATTCAAACATCTCCACATACGTACACAAGAATTATTTCTTTAGATCATCAAGAAAATTCAACTAATGGGGTCTCCAGTTTCCACACAATACAATAGCAAGGTCGTCTCTTTAGATTTGGATTTTATTTGCTAGTTAATGTTCTGTAATTTTTATATATTTTACATTTTATCTTTTTTATAAGAAATATTACCAGTCAGAAGAGTTTTGACCAATCAAAATCCCCCAATTTTAATAAATATAACTTGCTAATTGGTTTAGCACCTTTATCATTCAAGTTCATTGGTTACAAGTTTTTCAGTATCTTAGTCAAACCCTTTTTATATTTTTATTATTTGATTTATGATTACAAATTAATTGATTAACCTGAATTTTGAGCCACTGAGGCCTCCACACCTTGGTTTGGATTTTGTCCTCAAACCCAGTTCACAGCATCTCCTGTATATATTTTTATTTTATGAGAAGATGTTTCTAATGCATAGCTACAAGTGTTATAAGACTAAGAGCTTTTCATTTTAAGTCCGTGGGTTCAGACTTTTTTCAAATAATATATTATTATATAATATATAATGTACTATTAATAATATATTATAAAATGTCTGTTCAGGTCAGATTTCAGGTTTGGGTCCATGCTTCGGAATTTGTATAAGGCCGAGCTTAGATTCAAGATTTAAACCCGATGATGGATTAATAGTCACTAATCTTTTATTTTTGTTTGTTTATTAAGAGGTAAAGCCTGACCCGGTTCGTGAACAGGTGAGAGGATTCTGTGAGGAGTGACGAGGAAATCTGGGTTTTCCATCGACAAAAAAAGAAATGAAAAGCGGTTCAATTTCGGTGGTCACATCTGCGCCCCACGGTTCTCCACAGCGCACATCCCTATCTTGTATTGAAATTTGAAAACAAGGTGGAAATCTGTGTGGGGCGCATATATGAACTCTCAATTTCGAAAAGATTTTTAAAACATTATAAAGGTATCATAAGTGATGCGGATGTGGCACATTGTGATTGGCCCAGAATCATCTGGTTAGAGACTGAATCGTCCACGAAACCGTCCCGAAGAAATATCGTACGTATCCAGTAATGGATACGTGCCAAACGTAAGCAAGCCAACCACCACTACTGCCCAGCCGTGCACGTGTCGGTGAAAGATTAAGTAGGGGTTTTGACTTGCTTCCTCCTCACAACACTTGGATTGGACAAGAGCCGGACGGCGCGGTGATCCGCCGTTACGAACTGTTCACGCGTCCCTTCCCCCTCCTTGAGCTCATCCTGTACTGGCCGTTACGTTCTTCTTTCTCGGCTTCACCCATTCCATCCAACGTGCCCCAACCTCATTCGCAAGTAACACGAGAGAGTGGGCTCCACCCTTTCCTTGAAGTTTGAACTCCCAACTGGCTTTTGACTTTCATTTCCTCACCATTAATAGTCGCAAACACAATGACAAAAAGCTCCTCGTGTCCTCTTATTTACTGTTTCAGTGCCAGACACCAAACGGAGATCGACGCCCAAAACGTCGTACCTAGGGACTAGGGTTAGGGCTTCCTTTTCTGCTTGGTCATTCAGCACGAGTCGACGACATCTGCTGATATTGCTGGTTCACGTTCATCCAACCGTATATCTGGAATATCAGGGAACAATGTGTTGTGGCGGCGATTTTTGATGAGATTGTTTTGTTTTGTTTTGTTTTGTTTTTCCGAAATTTTAAATAGTTAAATTTTATAAAAAATCGCCCAGATTTTCACCATGGATCCAGACTCTAGACTCCAGAGTGTCAACCTTCTCTGAGCATCACTCCCGCTCTTAATTCAGCACTAGTTAATTATCACTCTGGTTCTCATCAAGTGTTGAAGATGGTCATTGTCTAAAACAAACATCAATAATGAATTTTAAATCACGATAATTAATCTCAAACCAGAAAATTGTGAACAAAAAAGGAATACAACAGAGAAAAACTTAAATTCCCTCTCTCTCAGACAACGAATATCTGCATACTGTCGCTTTTAGGTCATTTTGAAGCGAAGTTTCAACAGAGAAAAACTTAAATTCCTAGAAATATGCAGAATAAAGTCATTTTCGAAGGAGAGAAGAAGATTAAACGACTAAGCAAGCATGCAAGGCTGCAAGGAAAAGGGTAAGGAAGAGTTGATGTGTCCTTTACCCACCACGAGGGCGACACGTTTCAAGTTACAAAACTCATTGCTTTTGTTGTAAAGAGAGAGAGAGAGAGAGAGAGAGAGAGAGTTGCTAGATTCATGAGAGGAACGGAAGCTGGTTGCTTCACGCAAGCAGCTAAAAGGGGGTTGGATGCGTCGCGTAGCTTTAAGTATTTCAATTAGAATTTAAAAGAAGTGAAGAAAGACCTAACTATCAAGGTTCAAAGGATTTCAATTAGAATTTTAAGAGATATTTCAGGATATGTTTTGAATACCTATGACATATTAAAAATTAAGATACGTATGAATACATTAAAAAATTTATATAAATCTTAAAAAATACATTAATAATAATAAATATAAATTTTATATGACTTTAAATAAGTTATTTAAACACTTATAAAGAAAACAAGTTATTTAAATATACAAAGCCATATTTCAATAATTTATATAAAATGTGAGATATAGGAACAAATTAGTAATCTTGAAAATAATGGAAGGAGCAAAATGTGTATTAAGAGAGAGGTAATAATTACAGGGGATTAGGAGTTATTTAGGGCAAGTTTCGAAGTTATTAGAAAGACATAATTATTAAATAGGCTTATTTATGAAAGATAATCTAATATTACAACATGTGGCTGATACATTCAAAATATCGGTCCTGTATCAGTCGATACAGACCCGAAACGAAACTACTGTTGTGATTTTGATCCGATACAGACGATACATTCAAAATATTGATCCGATACAGACGAAAAGGAACGAAACTACTGTTTCAGGTATCGGGATGTTGCTGAAATGATACGTATCGGCCGAGATACGTTGTGATTTTTTAAACCTTGCTACCCACCACCACACTGCCAAAGAAACCAATATTACACAAATCCGGCTCTTGGGGTTCTCTTCATCATTTTCTCTGCTGTTTAATCAATCTCTCTCGACCCCACGAACCCAAATCCGGAGATGTTGTAGAAAGACAAAATAAAACGACCCACAAGAAGATGAGTTCGAGCAGCACGATTAGCAGCGGTGGCGGCGGAGTTGTGGGTGGGGTCGGCAGTAGCAGCGGTGGTGGTGGTGGAGGAGGAGGACCTTGTGGCGCATGCAAATTCTTACGGCGTAAGTGCGTGATCGGATGCATATTTGCTCCTTACTTTGATTCAGAACAAGGAGCAGCCCACTTCGCAGCGGTTCACAAGGTGTTTGGTGCAAGCAACGTGTCCAAGCTTCTCCTTCATATACCAGTTCACAAACGACTCGATGCCGTCGTCACCATCTGTTATGAAGCTCAAGCTCGACTTCGAGATCCCGTCTATGGCTGTGTCGCTCACATCTTCGCTCTTCAACAACAGGTTCGGATACTGTCTGTCTTAAATTTTAAATGCAAGGTTTCACGCTAACATGAACTCAAAAACATATCTCTCCGGCGTGCGTAGTTCTCCGTTGACACGGCAGCGCGTCCTATATCTCCGTCAAATTTCTACCCCTTTTTTTTCTTTTTTTAGAGAAGAAAAGAAGCACTTTCCTTTTTAAGAATTTCAGTGCTCCGAGATGAATTCGAGGAAGCGGTTGGTCTTCTTTCTTGGAATTAGGGTTTCGTTATTAGTGTGTGATCGTTTTTTACAAACAACTGAGCATCTTTTTCTCAGAAATGACAGTTTTCTTCTTCTCTCTCTACGTATTCGTAACAGAAGTGCAGCTATGATTTGCAGTAGATATTCGCACCAACTTTTCAGTATTCTTCTAACACACATGCAACCCTTGAAGTTTCATCTTGATAATTAATTTGGTAGATGCAACGTCTGTATTCTAAATTTCTAATAGATCCCGGTAGGATCAACGGTTTTTGTTTGATTGATTAAACATCTATTTCCTTGATTTTATGCGGTGTTCTTCCTCGTGGTTCTATATATATTTATGTATTTTCATTTTGCCCTGTTAGGCTGTTACTGATAAAGTTTTCTCTACTTTAGTACTTTTTCTGCTACGAGAGAATTTTCCGCGTATTAACGTGGGACATAGATCAGAGCTACTATTCAACGTCAGTTATTGCAATCAGACTTTGAATATTATGGGTGCAGGTGGTGAATTTACAGGCTGAACTATCCTACTTGCAAGCTCATCTGGCAGCGTTAGAGCTTCCGTCTCCGCCACCTCCTACGCTACTGGCTCCGCCACCACTCTCTATCACAGACCTTCCGTCAGCTTCCAGCATCCCCGCCACTGCGACCTTCAACCTATCGACAATACTTGATCCTGTGGTGCCACCACATTGGTTATTGCAACAACGCGAAATGGAACTTCGACAATTCGGAGGAAGCGGCAGAAGCCCTACGGAGAATTCTCCGCCCACCGCTGGAGGCGGTGGTGATCTTCAGGCATTGGCCCGAGAGCTTCTACAAAGGCACAGGTCGTCCGTGGAGCAGTCAGCATCGGCGCAACAAACATGCACATCCACAGCAACCACAACCACCATCACTCCCCAACTGAGACTGACCTAATTGACCAGAATTTTCCTTGAGCATTTTCAGTAGTTGAAATTGCCTGGTTTTGGAGGAGATTTTGTTGTCATCCCAATAGGCAAGTAGTTATAATTGAAAACTTCTCATTTATTTTTCATGAATTAAAGCTTAATTAGATGAAATGTAGAATAGATTTACCATTATTATGCTATCAAAGCGCCCTTAATCTTTCTTAATTAATTGTTAATTTTTATATTAATAATCAATATATGGTCAGCACATGATATTCCTTCACCTTATCTTTTTAGTGAATAAGTTTTTTTTTTTTTTTTTAAGGTGGTTGTCAGCTTCTTAATGGCTGAAGCTGAACTTGGGTTATATATTTTAAGAAAAGTTGAACTTGGGTTATTTACTATGCTATGCTTTATAATTTAATAATTATTTTGTCCACAAAGACAAAAGCAATAAGTCATTCAGTTAACATCTGCCTTTGTCAACAGCCCCTTAATCATAATACATGTGCTGAAGTGGGTCCCTTCTCTTCAATTGGATTTCAGCTCTACCTTTTAATTTCCTTCTTTTAAATTAATGGAATTTACATTTTACTATAAACAGATCAAACTCAAGAGTTCTTTATATTAGTGATTTTTATTTTAATAGTTAAGCAGATGCCCAAAATTCTCCTAGAAAAAAAAAACAAACAAAACCCTAAAAGAACAAATTTCTGCTTGGATGATTGGCTTCTCTTATATACCAAGAATAGCTAGCCCTTGAACAGGCATTGATAAAGCACAGTTTCAGGTATTCTATAACCTGCTTAGCATCCCTCATTGGTCCTCCAAAAGAACATTACCTAATTGCAAGTTCAGTAGCAGTCAGGGGATGTGAAATCTCTGAATGTATGTATTGTTATCATTATTTTCTGCCATCCATCATATCATCCAATCCTTTCAAGAATTTGTATGCGTGTGTCAACTAACCTTCCTGTTTTCAATTGGTGCAAATTAAAGGTGATTCTTGAGGCTGAAAGCCTTGTTTTGGGGTCATAAAACCCTTTTGGAAGTGATAGGATAACTGCTCTAATGTAGGTTTTATAATTGTTAATTAACAAGTTGGTTTATAACTGAAGTATCTCAAGTGCATCATCCATGCATAGACTCCAGGATATGTCTTTCCCTTCTGTAACTATCTTTAATTATGGCGTGACCACAAACATTTTATGATTTCTATATCCTAATCTCCATTCTTTCCCAAACCATCCATACTGCGCTATTCTTGCTTTTTAAGGTTGTATCGTACTGTTGGTGTGCAATGTTTTGAGTTGAAATATAGTTTATAATTGAAACACAAACACTACTGTTTGCACTTGAATCTTGTTAATTTCAGTGAAAAACGTGTATCAGAACCACATTGGTGCCTTGTCAGTCAAGGTGTTGAGACTTTGGCTGGAAACATCAAATTTATGTTTCTTGAAACACCCCCTGGTACAGATTTCCATGCAAGGTGCTCTGTGATTGTTTTAACTCAAAAACAGTCTCCAACCAAATAAAATTTGACCGTTAACTCAAAACTCCTGTGTGACACTGATGTGAAGGCATTTATACTTGGAACACTAATGGTATACCAAACAGCCCTTCGTCTTGGTCACTCAGATTTGCCAATTAGATACTTTCACTTAAGTTCTTTTTCTTCAAGTTGTCCTGTTTATCTTGAAGCCCAAGCAAGTACGTATCTAAACCATGGATATATATCCATGTTGTTAAGCAGTGGTAATTACTTGAACACGGTTCATGATTATTGGTTCTTTTTGTACCCATTTTCACAGTTAACCTTAAGGGCCACTTCATGGTGATAACATCATCATCCCAACTTTATGGGTTCGGCACTTCATGGTGATAACACGTATCTTGCAAATTTCATGATGCATGCAAATGTTGGAGACCATGTAACTTTGATGATTACTGCCTGAATTCTATTGCCCAATCAATGCATGGGCTTGCCCTTGGGACATACAAGAATCATATCTTTGAAGCCAATTTTTCAACCCAATTCAGCCTATATCCCACCTATTTGGGGATGCATGGCTACATGAACCCTTTTCCTGCAATTATGATCTATTAACAGCCATATTTTCTGTCAAATTTTCGGTACTTAACGCTTAGTTTGGGAAGAATACTGTTAGGGTGATAATTGAGCTGGCCAAGATGCCACATACCTATTTTCGTGACTGATCCCCTCAGGCCATGTTGACGCCATGTGTAACGGAAGAGCACGACTAAGGAGTGTCCTACATGGACAAAGAAGTGAATTTTGCCAAGGAAAAGGCAACCTTCTGAAAACCTCGGCGAACGCCCTCATCTCGACAACCTCGAGAGCCCAATCCATCTAGGATGCAGACACCCAGTTATAAATAGGTATTCCCTACTCGAGATAAGGGACTTTCGAGGAACCAATCTTTGAATACTCTTTATACTATAGCTTGGACCAGTGCTATCTCAACCTACTCGGCCCGACTACACCCTTCTCTACCATGTTGACTTGAGCATCGAAGTACCTACCCGGGGAACAACTCCTCGGGCCTCCGACCTTTCTCCTGATTGCAGATCTTGGTGCACAGCTTTGTCCATCCGCCTCAGCCTTGTCCAATTGGAAGGACTATAGTGTTCTCAATCCAGAACACCTCAGATTGGATAACATCATATTGGCACGATCTCTGGAAAACGAACAAAAATTAATTTCCCAAACCCTTCTCCATGCACTAAAAGCAAAGCAACCATGCCTGAAAACACATTCGACCGCTCTAGAACCCGTTCCCCATCTCAGGGATCCCGCTCACCCCATAGCTCCCCACCTTGAGAGCCCAAGCATCAAGTAGCAATAAACCCCGTACAATTTCAAACCATGCAATAGAAGGCCAACCATATCCTACCCATGATGGAGACGCTGGGGAAACCGATGTCCGCCCCCCAAGTTACTCGCCCTACCGCTTAGGTGCCTACTATAGGCGACCCTCGCACCGAGGACCCCAAAAGGTGCCACGTAGACAAGTATAGGGCCCAATCCAACCGCGAACGACCACTACTATCCAGAAGATCTGATTCCCTAGCCCAGCCTCGCATGCACAACGCTCGCAGTAGATCCCATCACTCTACTTGAGTGCCGGTGAAAGAACGGCTCAGCCAACGCCTGCAGCAGCCACCAATCTCAATAGCAAAATCCAGCTTAGTTTGAAATCGGCCTGCGATCCTGAAAAGGTAAAAGTTCGTAAACGCAGTCCCAGCTGACAAAGACGCCGAGATCAAAGAACTAAGAGAGCGGTTGATTGAATCGGAAGCGGCTAAGTGGATAGAAGCGTGGCTCCTCCGACGGCTCGACACTAAGAGTAGCACAACAGCTAGCCCACAAAGGAACCTGTCTTCGTCCAGGAGATTGTTGATGAGCTTCCCCATCTGGCTGGTGACCCCCTCAGTTCTACGGTGGAACCTCAGACCTCAACGATCACATTGAGGGTTTCAAGACAATAATGATGTTACACGACTCCTCCGAAGGTCTCATGTGCAAGGCCTTCGTCGTCACCCTCCACGGAGTCGCCAGAACCTGGTACAACCTCCCTCCCGTCATAGTCCATATTCTCCTAAGAGCAGCTAGAGATGCCAGAACCTGGCGCAATTCATCACCAGCCAAAGGCCCTGGAAAACGTTGGCCAGTCTCATTCAAGTACGACAAAGGAAATGAGAGACCTTGAGGGAATACTTGGCAAGGTCAATGCCTAGGCCCTTCAGGTCTAAGCTCTAGACAAGTCAGTAGTTGTGACAACCATCATGAGTGGACTACACTCCTCAATGTTTAGCTTCTCACTACAAAAGAACCCTCCATCCAACTTGACTGCGCTCATGAAACACGCACGGAAGTATATGAATGTCAAAGAGGTCTAAGCACTATGCAGGGAGGAGGAAGACCAACACAACCGGAAGCGTAGAGATAGATAACCCTGCATTTTGATGCCTTAAGGGCATCAGTTCGGGCGTATTTTCAGCCTTAGAATAGTCAAAGTGTACCCTTTTCCCAGTTAAAATCAATTATATGACCTCTGAGGGTCTCTATGCAAATTATGTAGAAAACTGTGAAGTTTTCTAGGCTGAAGTACAGTTTTTGGGAAGCTGGTGTGAAGACCAGCTGAGATATGGGTGTTTTTGTAAAGAACTGAACGCAGGAGGGCGCCTCCTAGCTGCTAAACCTAGTTTGGCGTTCATCCAACTATGTTAGCATGCTCCCCATGCCTTCGCAAACCCTAGGGCATCTTTTAACCCATTCTTTTCAATCTTAACAAACCCTAACCACCCCTAACTGCTAAATACCCACCTTCCATCCCTTCTAATCTCCACCATCCATTCTAGGGCACTCTCTTTTTAGCATCCTAACCCTATGAACTACATAACTTCTAATCTTCACCATTCAGCCTTTACCCATTAAATCTCAGCCTTACATAATATTGGGTGCCTTCTCCTTTTGTTCTCAGCCTTAGGATCACCCTAAAACCATCCTAACCCTTCATTCTAAACCCTAGGGCACCCATGTTTTTGCTAAAACCCAGCTGCCGCCCTATAATTCCAGTTATAGCAACCCTTCTCTATAAAAAGGACCCGAAGGGCCCTAGAGAAGGGGTTGGTCAATTCACACAAATCACAAGGCTAAGGTTTCTTGAGGAGTTCAAGGGTTGTAGAAGGGGAGGACACCCAGATCTTGTTAGGAGGGGTTCCTGCAAGCTGTTCAACCATTCTGCAACTACCGCCACTAGATCTGATAAACCATTCTTTTCTTTTCTTTATTTTATTTTCTGCTTTTTTTTTCTGCAATCTTTTAGATTTAATTCTTGTCTGTTTCTCTGTTTTGCATATATGAATTCGTTCAGTTCAAGGCTAAGGTGTCTCGAGGGGTTCGAGGGTTATAGAAAGGACGGACGCCCGATTCTTGTCAGGAGGGGTTTCTACAAGTTGTTTGGCCGATCTACAGCAACCGCCACCGGATCCGGATTATAGATCATTTTTTTTATTTATTTCTTTTATTTCCCTTGTTGATTCCCACACTTTATTAAATTCTGATTTTTATTTATTGTCTTGTTTAAATTCGAAACATTTAATTTCAGTAATAATAGATTTTATTTTCATATTTTCTGCCATTCCCGATTGCATTCTCTTGTTCGGATCTAAGTACATATTAATTTTTCACTTGCTTCCCTGTGGATACGATCTGT